CTAGTCCCCACATTTTTCTTGGTAGCCCCACAACCCAACAAACAAAAAGACCCCTTACTGCCGTGTCCTCAGACTGTCCCGTGACCACAAGTTGGTGTGTGAGGGTGGCGGGTGAGGTGAGAGGGTCCCCCAGGGGCTGAGGAAAGACAAGGCACTCAGCAGGGTGGGTGCTCAGCAGAAAGTGGGGAGCAGGCGGCCTCGGGGGTCTCGACATGGAAAGGAGCCTCAAGCCTGTTGACAGAACCCCCATACACTGGGCCATGGGGACGGGGCGGCTGCAGGGACTGGGAAGGACTCAATGGGGGAGCCGTGTGGGGTGGGTGAGGGGGCACCTCGAGAAGCGGGAGGTCACCCAAGGAAGTGGCATGAGGTGTGCGCAGACCCCCATTCCAGGCGGGCTGGATCCGATGTCTACGGGTGGCTGGTGGGGCGGGAGTGACAGCACAGTGGGTAGAGCATTTGTCTTGCACACGGCCGACCCGGGTTTGATTCCCAGCATCCCATATGGTCCCCGGAGCATCTCCAGGAGTAATTCCTGAGTGCAGGGGCAGGAGGAACCCCTGTGCAACTGCGCAATGCCAGGTGTGACCCTAAAAGCACTGTAGCACTGTCCTCCCGTTGTTCATCAATTTGCTCGAACGGGCCCAGTAACGTCTCCATTGTTAGACTTGTTGTTACTGTATTTGGCATATCGAATACGTCACGGGTAGCTTGCCAGGCTTTGCTGTGACGGTGAGATACTCTTGGTAGCTTGCTGGGCTCTCCCGAAAGGGGCGGAGGAATCGAACTTGGGTTGGCCATGTTGGCTGTGTGCAAGGCAAATGCCCTACCGCTGTGCTATCGCTCCAGCCAGCAATCCTAAACGCAAAAAAAAAAAAACAAGGTTCACTGAGGGGCCGGGAGACAGTGCAGTGGGCAGGGCACGCTGACTCTAGTTCAATTCCCGGCACCCCAGAGGTTCCTTGAACACCACTGGGGATGGCCCTGGCAGTCCCAACACTATAGGACCCCTGCATCACACACCCCTCCTGGCCACGGCTGGCCGAGAATCACTGGTCTTCCCTGGACCCCCGCCCCCCTGAGCAGACCCTGGAAGGCCTCCCCAGAGAGAGAAAAATAAGGTTAATTTGCATGGGCTTATTCAACTACGCCACACAGGGAGTCTCAAAGCTGGTCAGAGCAGGAAAAAAGTCAGAGGATAGGAAAGACATAGGGTTCCACCTTGTGTTCTATCACCCCCAGGGACTATGGGGCGAGGGGAGAGCTCTGGGCCCCCAGCTAGGGAGGCCTGCGGCAAAGGAACCCCATGGACCCCCAAGGCGCCTGGGTGTCCAGACCCCCACCAGGGAGGAAGGAGGCCCAGACCAGCAGCCCCTCTGCCTCTGTGTGCCAGATGACGCAGGGTGAGGGGGTGCGGGGAGGGGGGGGCATTGGGGGAGTGGGTGCTGCCAGGGGCCTGCGTGCAGGGGGAGACGCCTAGTTCCAATGTGCCTGGTGGAGCTTTTTAGCGTCGTGGGCGGTCCGGACTGCAGTGATCACTCTCTCCTGGTGAGGAAGAGAAACTGCATTTGAAAGAGATTCACCCACAAAGTGAAGGGCCTCTTTGGGGGGTAACTGCGAGGCGCCACCCCATCAGCAGCTGTTGTGGGGCCCGGTGTGAGCGAGGTCTCTTGCTTTGGGGGATGTTTTCCTGCCAGCCCACAAGGTCACACCGGGTTCCAGAAGCAGGTTTGGAAAGCAACAAGGGGCGCTGGGAGGGACCCCGGGCTCAGGCTGGGACACTGCTGCCACCGTGTGGTAGAAAGCGGGAACAGCAGCAACAGGCTGTATGGGTCCGCCCTCTCTCTCTTTTCTCCGGGGGGGCTCCCAAGGGATAGTGGTCCCTTCTCTATCCCAGCGGCCTTTCCCCCAGCATGGGAGGCCGGCTTCCAAGTCATGGAGCGATCCGAACCTTGGAGATTTTGAAGGAGCAGGTGTTGGGCTGGGCTGCAGCAAACGGAGTCCAGGGGAGGGGAACCACATAGAAGGCAGAGCCCTCCCTCGACCCTTGTCTTCTGTTTTCCCCCTTTCCACTCCACAACATGCACACGTTACAGCTGCACCCCAGGACTGAGCCTGAGTAATGAAGTTTGTCCCCTACCCTGCCCTACCCAGGGGGATGGTGACCCCCAGGATTGCAGGACCTCCATTCTTACCCCCAAGACTTATCAGAAACCTGGGGTCCACTCGGGAGAAACACCAAATGTGTATTTGCTTAAACCCAGAAACCCAAATTCAAATGGGGGGATCCTGTGGGATGTCTCACATAGTTTGTCCTCACTGAGGCTGGCCTGGGGATTTTTTTAAAGACAGGTTTTTCTTTTAAGAGGTTTTAAATTTTGATGACGTGTCATCCATCATTATTTCCTCTTACGGCACCTTCATTTTATAGGCTAAGAAATCTTTGTCGACTCCGAGATTATGGAGGCTGTCTTCCATTATTGATGCTGGAAGTTTTAGAGTTTTAGCTGTATACTACAATCCATTTTAGTTCCTCTGAACTGAGAGGCTCTAAGTTCACCGTTCCCTCTTATGGACGCCCAATCATTCCAGCGCCATCCTTCATTCTGTGAAAAGATGATCACTTTCCCATTGATTTACCTTGGGTTCAGGTGTCAAAAATCAATTGACCGCTCCATGTGGGTGTATTTCAGGAGTCTGCTCAGCTATTCATCTACCTTTATGCCAATATCACACTCGCCTGATTTCTGCCGTGGTGGACCACGTGACAAAATTAAGTCCTCTATAATTTCCTAAGGTCGTTTTAGCTAGCTAGTGAATCAGGGCCTCTTGTATATAAATTGCAAATTAATTTTTCACTATTCCGTTGTTGTTAAAGGGTGCTGGTACCTGGAGCGGTTGTACAGCAGGTTGTACAGCTTGGCTGGCCAGGGGCCAGGCTGGTTTCAAACCCCAGCAACCCACAGGATCCCTAAGTGCAGAGCCAGGGGTGACCCCTGAGCACTGCCAGGTGTGGCCCCCAAACCAAACCAGGCAAAAAGAGTGCAGTGTCAGTATCTGGCAACAGCTGCCCCACCCTGTCACCCCATCCTCTCCCTCCACCCCGACCCTCCTGCTAAATGCAGCTTTAATACCCAGAGGGAGGGGCTGGAGCGATAGCACAGCGGGGAGGGCGTTTGCCTTGCATGCGGCTGACCCGGGTTTGATTCCCAGCATCCCATATGGTCCCCTGAGCATCACCAGTAGTTCCTGAGTTCAGAGCTAGGAGTAACCCCTGTGCATCGCCGGGTGTGACCCAAAAAGCAAAAAATAAATAAATAAAACCCAGGGGGGAACTTGGAAGTGGCCATTGGAGGCCTCTGAGAGTAAACAGTGGTGGAGCTGGGGAGGGGACAGGCTGCCTCGATCCATGGTGGCAGGGTCTGCAGCATCTGGGTCCGTGGCTGGCTCTGGAGCGGCAGCTTCTGTGTTCAGGTTTGTCACTGCATCTGCTCCCGAGTCTCATGTCTACGTGCTGCTTCAAGTGGGGTCAGGAGAGGAGAGACTTTCCATCACAGCGGCTGGTCACTGGCCCTGGGAAATTAATGGTGGATTTCTGGGCTCCTTAAAAGTCCCTCCAAACGTGTGATTTCCTTTTTAATTCCGTTTATTTTTGTTTTTGATGGACACACTCACGGCCCACTCCTGATGGGCTCAGGGAGCCAGATGGGATGCCAGGGATAGAACCTGGGTTGGCCGTGTGCGAGGCAAATGCCAACCCACTGTGCTATGGCTCCAGCCCAGAAAGTGCGATTTTTCTCTCGACACCATCAGGTCAGGTGCCAAAGCTTCACCTCCCTCCCATGTGCTGACGACTGTCCTGCAGGGCGCACCCCTCATGCCCCTGTGCTGCTGTAGTGTCAGTTACTTTGGGTCTCCTGCCTCGACCCCCAACCCTGTCCCAGTGGGGACATCCAGAGAGCAGCAAATGCCATGTCCACAGATGAACTGCATCCCTGGCCTGGAGCTGTGCTCAGGAGTCTGGAGGGCATGAGCACATGTCTACTATGCGAGAGCACACGCCTTCTAAGCGCAAGGCCCCGAGTCGCATCCCTGGCACCACCTTGTCTCCTAGCATCACCCAGAGCACGCTCTGTGGGGTCTGGCCCTGGTGGTCCCTGAGCACAAGTGCCACGCTGCCAGGTCTGGGGTCTAGCCAGGAGTTACCCCCAGAACCATTAGGTGTGACCCCTATAAATTAATAGTGAAAGTAAATAAAGGAAGGGCCCAGAAGGAAAGCTCAAAGACTTTTTTTTTTTTTGGCTTTTTCAGTCACATGCAAGAGAGATTACTCCTGGCTCTGTATTCAGGAATCACTCCTAGAGATGCTTGGGGGACCATATGGGATGCTGGAGATTGAACCTATGCTGGCCACTGTCACTGTCACTGTCCTTCCGTTGTTCATCGATTTTCTCGATCGATCGAGCAGGCCCAGTAACATCTCCATTGTGATACTTTGTTGTTTCTGTGTCTGGCATATCGAATACGTCACGGGGAGCTTGCCAGGCTTTGCCGTGTGGGCGAGATACTCTCGGTAGCTTGCCGGGCTCTCTGAGAGGGGCGGAGGAATAGAACTCGGGTCGGACATGTTGGCTGCGTGCAAGGCAAACGTCCTCCCTGATGTCCTATCGCTCCGACCCCGTAAGCTCATGCTTTGCATGTGAGCGGCCTGTGTTTAATCCCCGACACTGCACTGTCCCAAGCACCACCAGAAGGGACCCACAGGAGTAGCCCACAAGCACCTCAAGTACCCTCCCAGAGAGCCTGGTGCTGGGGAGCCCCGTGGCACGCAGCCCCGAGAGATAAGAGAATCCCCGAGGGTGGGGCCTCGCCGCCTTCCAAGGCCCGTCAGGAAAGAGCCTGTACCAGCGATCAAGTCACTTGGTCGGCACAGATGTAGCAGCAGAACCTTTTAATACCACTCGAAACGTGACGTGGAAAGAAACGGACATGTGTCGGGGAGCTGGTGCGCGGGGCGGGGGGGCCAGGAGAGTCCTGGAGGGGCGCATGGGCCCCCGCAGCCAGCATCCACGCACAAGGGGAGGCGACTTTAGAGTCCGTCTCAGGCAACAACAAAGCCGGGGAAGCCACACCGGCGATGGGGGGAAGAAGGGGGTCCACAGCGCAGAGGAGGGTCGGTCTCAGCTCGCCCCGCAGGGGGGTTCAGAGCTCAGACGTCAAGGAGGCAGGGGCTGCCCCTCCCCGGTGGCGGCGGCTGGGCCGTGGGCAGTGCCCGCTGCTGTCCTCTCCCTGGTCCCTCGTCTCTCTTCCGTGCTCCGGGGGAGCCTGCCCAGGGGCCCGGCCACCGCGGCAGGGGCCATGGGCAGACCCGACGCCCCCGAGCCTCGTCTTGGGGAGACCCGGGACGAGGAGCTGGCGGCAGCGGGGCTAACCTCAGCAGCCCTTCTGCAGGATGTCGAGCCCGGAGGCCTTGGTGATCTCCAGCGTCGTGAATATCTGCAGAAGGTAGAGAGCGGCTGTCACTGTCCCACATGGCTAAGACACCCTCTAAGGACCTTATCCGCAGAAAGGCAGAATCCGACAGGCGCTGTGGCTTTTCAGAGAATGCTTCCGGGGGCTGGGTGTGGGTGAGGCCCTGGGTTCATCCCAGGCATCACAAAAATAAATAAATAAATAAATAAATCACTGTCACTGTCCTCCCGTTGTTCATCGATTTGGTCGAGTGGGCCCAGTGACGTCTCCATTGTGAGACTTGTTGTCACTGTGTTTGGCATATCGAATATGTCGCAGGGAGCTTCCCAGGCTTTGCTGCGCAGGCGAGATACTCTTGGTTGCCTGCTGGGCTCTCCGAGAGGGGTGGAGGAATCGAACTCCGGTTGGCTGGGTTGGCCGCATGCAAGGCAAACACCCTACCCGCTGTGCTATCGCTCCAGCCCAAATAAATAAATAACTAAAAAGGAAAAAAACCCAGGGCTGGAGTGATACTAGAGCAGGTAGGCTGTTTCCCATGTGGCCAGGTTCAGTCCCTGCCTATATGATCCCCGGATCACTGCCGGGAATGATTCCTGAGTGCAGAGCCAGGAGTAAGCCCTGAGCATTGCCAGGTGTGGCCCAAGTGGAAAACAACTCAAATGAAAATAATAATAATAAAAAAACCCTAAAAAACAAAAAAGAAAAAACCCAAAGTTCGCCAATTAAAACTGAAATACAGTGACTGTATTTCAGGGTTCGATTCCCAGCATCCCAAATGGTCCCCCGAGCACCACCAGGAGTAATTACTGAGTGCAGAGTCAGGAGTAACCCCTGAGCATCACTGGATGTGACCCAAATAGTAAAAAAAAACCCAAAACAAAACAACAAAAAAACTGATTGACATCATGTCCTTAAGCCTTAGCACTGAACCTCTGACCCAGTTGGGTGGGGGGGGGCGGGGGAGCGAGTCCCTGGAAGCCGAGCATTGTTGGGGAGGGCCCGTTCAAAAGGCCGAGGTGAAAAACCCGGTGAACGCCTGTGTCCCCGTACCTCTCCACACGTCGGGTGGATCCCGATGGTGCTGTCCAGGAGTTGCTTCGTCAGCCCACATTTCATCGCAGCCGCGAAGCCCTGGGTGATCTCACCAGCGTTGGGCCCAAGAAGATGAAATCCTACCACCCGATCCTTAAGTACAGGAAGGAGACAACGGGAGACGCAGTGAGTTAATGGCCTGCTCAGGAACCCACTCGCTGCGAGTTCAGCCAGACTCCACGGCATCCACGGCAGAGACACAGTTCCAGAGCCAGTTTAGCGGAGAACATTAGCATGAATCGGAGCCGCGGTAAGAATCTTTTAAATGAGCCAGGAAATGCACAGCCCGTGTTAATTTGCACTCGGATTCACGAGAACAAGCAATTTGCCCGCTGTGGGAAGGAGTTCATTAGTGTGATGTGAATTTCTGAACTCTGCCGAGGAAGAGTCAAACAGCAACATGACAAATCTGAGTCAACGTTCGGCGTTGGGACAACGCTGACGGGGAGACGGGGAGCTCGAGGGCCACGAATCCCGGCCAGGAAGCGAGCTGCCTGGCTCCTCCCAACAGCACAGGGCTGGCGGGGGGTGGGGGGTGGGTGCGGCTGCCCCCCCCAGGATTCGATGGTGGAGGTAGAGGTGCCGGGATGGGTTGGCCACGGAACCAGGAAGTGGGATCTGCAGCAGGTCTGTGAGAGGACCCGCATTTTCCACAGTCCGTTTCTTAGGCCAACTCTCCTCTTTGACCCTGGGTGAGCGGGAAGAGGGCAGCAGGGGCCCCACCAAGGAATGTCTATGCCCGGGTTCTGGAGACAGCCTATGCGGCTCAGAGCAGCCAGCCTCACCCAGCCACGTCCCGAGGGCATTTCTGGAGACCCTGCGGCTGGGGTGTGGTCATGCTCCCAGGGTCTCCCCAAACCTCAATGGGGTGTATGCCGGCGGAGAGTGGAAGACAGGACTAAAAACCTCCACTGATAAAGGCACGGGAGGAGCAGGGGACAGCACATGGGAGCGGCCATCAGGGGTGCAATCCCCAGCACCCCACAGGGTCCCTGGAGCCCTGCCAGGCGGAGCCAGGAGCAGGTCCTGAGCATTGTCTGTGCAGCCCTGAGACAGAAAATACCAATAAAGGCTCAGGGGGGCAGCTCTGAGGGCGGGGGGCAAAATTCTGAAGGGGGGCACTCCTGGGGCGGGGCCAGGCGGGGTTCGGGGGCAGCAGAGGGAGCAGGTGGGAGGGGGAAGAGCCCCCGCTCTGTGTGGCTGTCAGGAGACTTGAAGGCCACCCTGAGCAGGGTCTCAGCAGCGGCTCCCGGGCCCCTTCTGGGCTGCAGGGCAGCGCACAGGCTGACCACGCTGGGAAGAACCCAGCCCCGACCCGCAACCCTCCCTGAGGGTCCTGATTTCCAGCTGCTCACAGCTCCCCACGCCTTTGAGGTGATGTCCCCACCTTGGGCTGCCCCTCCGGTTCTGGTGGTCTGGCCCGGCCTAGGATGCAGGTTCTCTGTCCCACTGAGAGCCAGAGGAAGCGGGAATGTCGCCCGGCAGGGTGGCGTTCTGTGACTCCCGCAGCTGCTCTGCCTGACACCCTATTTCTCTGCCCGGAAAGAAAACCCTTACGAGGGGGGAGCAACTTCGAGCCCCGCAGTCGGCACCCAGGGCTTGTTATGCTCCCCCCAGACCTGAACAAGGATGACCCCCCCCCGCCCCGTTTCCTGCAAACCGCTCTCAGCACACTTCTTCTTCTTCTTTTTTTTTTTTTTGCTTTTTGAGTCATACCCGGCAATGCACAGGGGTTACTCCTGGCTCTGCTCTCAGGAGTCACTCCTGGCGGTGCTCAGGGGGCCATATGGGATGCTGGGAATCGAACCCGGGTCGGCCGCGTGCAAGGCAAACGCCCTACCCGCTGTGCTATCTCTCCAGCCCCTCAGCACACTTCTAAATGCTGCTAATACACATTCCATTTACTTTACTGTCGGGTGGGGGGTGGGGTGGGGGGTTGAGGGGGTTGGGGCAACACCCAATGGTGCTCGGGGGTTACTTCTGGCTCTGCTCTCAGAGATTATTACTTCGGTGGGTTTAGGGGCCCAGATTGGGTGCTGGGGGTTTAAAACCCAGACAACCGTGTGCGAGGCAAACGTCACATCCGCTGCACTGTCTCTCTAGCCCCGAAACACGTCCAGGTTGGAAACGCACCCGGGACCTTCCATTTGATTTCATTCGCTGTTGAGCAAGGTTGTCACAGCTCATCTCGTTCTGAAGTCCCAGGAAGAGACGCCCTCCCCGGCGACTCGGAGAAGGCGCCGGGAAGCGGCCACTCCAATTGGTTACTACTTCAGCTCCACAAACTCACCAACCAGGTTACAATTTACCCAGCTGGAAGGATTTGGAGCAGGTACAGAGGGAACCGGGGGTGGCGGGGAGGGGGGCGGAGGGGGGGGGGGGAGGTCGGGTCGCAGGATGTCGGTCTTGCGCTCGGAGCTATCTCAAAAGCCCAAAGAATCAAGACTCCAGTGCAAGACCCACAGACACACTCATACATACGTTGTCGAATTTGTTGCAGATAATCTTGACGTAACAGGTGTTGTTGTCTCTGCCGGCTACGGTCCACTCCAGTGGCCAGAACAAAGTGTGATACACCTGGAAGAGAAGGCTTCAAGGTCAGTGCCGCCAATGACATGCAGCCCTACACTGAGTGCCTGGAACCAACGCAGCATCATCAACTCCAAAAGCCACAGTGGGAAGGAAAGCAGAAAAGAAAGCACGCCAGACGCCCGCTGAGCAGCGGCGAGACCAGGCCACACCGGCTCTTACAGACCTACAGAGCCCCGCGTCCCACGCCCATGCCTGACCGACAGGGCACACCAGAGCCCTGGAGCTGTGCTCGACGGTCACGTTCTCTAGTTCCATTCTCCACTGGCGTCCACTCACCGGGGCCAGGACAGGCCCTGCGAGGGCTGGGAGGAGAGTCGAGGCTGAGAGCTGGACTCCACAAAGCCTCCACCCCGACTGGGTCCTCACTTAAGCCTGGGAAAGGCAGAGAGGCTGGGACTGTCCCAGCCCCCTGCAGACGTGATGAATGCCACCGCTGACATCGGGGCCCCCACTCCAGCGCCCCGGGGACCCCCCACGTGCCACTAAGGCTCCTCAACCGAGCCCAGCCTCGAGAACACAGACCCATGTGCCACCCGGCCAGCGCCCCCACACAGATCCGACAGGTATGGACGGATGCCTGGAAAGGCCCAGAAATGGATCCTAAACTCGAACTCGCTGTCAAGGGCTTCAATACCGACTCCATAAGGGGGCTGTAGGCTTTGTATTTCCACGTCTGGTTTGGTTCGGCTTTTCTCTCAGTGTTTTGGGCCACCCTTGATGCCACTGAGGGCTACTACTGCTCCTAGCTCTGGGCTCAGGGGTCACTCCCTGGCAATGCTGAGGACAGTGCTCACCCTTCGAGCAATCTCTCCCACCCCTGAATTCTTTTGTTTTTACATAACTGACACAAGGTCATTATAAAAATGCAGTGCTAGGGGTGTCTGATAGATAGTAGAGTGGGCAGGGTGCTGACCTGGGTTTGATTCCCAGCACCCACATGGTCCCGAGTCCACTAGGAGTGACCCTGAGTGCAGAGCCAGGGGCATGTCCTGAGAACCAATAACAACACAACAGCAGCAGCTACAACAATAACAACGCATTGCTAAAAACACAAACTAAGGGAGCTAAAGAACAACAAAAGCCATCGTAGGGAAGTGACCACTTTCAACGTTAGGGAAGCAACGTCAATTTCAACAAAACACTGAAATTGTTAGGGAAAAATTTCAATTTCCAATATGTTGACACACATACAGTTAAAACAAAAGTTTTACTGAAATGGCATCATGGCATATACACGTACTAAAATATTTCATTGAAGCTTGTATTTAAGAAGGAAAAAAAGCCTTGTACATTTTTTAAACAGGTGATTTTATTTGGAGGAGAGAGAGAATAACACACTCAACATACTCAAGGGAGAGTGTGGGCTTCCCCAAAGACTGAGAAGCCTTGAAATGGCCTTTCGGACCTGCTTTTATATGTACATATTCTCTCTCTCTCTCTCTCTCTCTCTCTCTCTCTCTCTCTCTCTCTCTCTCTCTCACTTTTTGGGTTTTTGCACCCGGCAATGCACTGGGACCATTCCTGGCTCTGCACTCAGGAACTAGTCCTGGCGGTGCTCGGGGGACCATATGGGATGCCAGGGATTGAACCCGGGTTGGCCGCATGCAAGGCAAATACCCTACCCGCTGTGCTATCGCTCTGGCCCCCTTGTACATTCTTTAATAGAATCTCTTCAGGGAGGGAGGGAGGGAGAGAGAGAGAGAGAGAGAGAGAGAGAGAGAGAGAGAGAGAGAGAGAGAGAGAGAGAGAAGGGGTTCAGGTGCTTGTCTTGGATGTGGCCAACTCAAATTCCTTCCCTGGCCCCTCAAATGGTCTCCCCAGCCCTGCCCAGAGTGGTCCCCACTCGGGAGGTGAGAGTAAGCCCTGAGAACTTCCGGGCGTGGCTCCGAACCCCAAACCAACCAACCAAACAACCAACCAAACAAACAAACAACAAAAAACCCTTTTCAATCTCAGGAAAAGAATGTTCAGTGTTTTTCATCTGCGAGCTTGTTTCTGAAAGCCTAGGCGAGGAGAGCCCCGGAAGTCAGGGCTTTCTGCAGGAGCGTGAATCTGCCCTGCTCTGTCCTTCCAGCACTGAAGTCTGTACTGAAGTTGATGATCCTCTGGCCCAGAGCAGGAGTGAAATGTACTTTATCCTGTTCCCCACTGGCTATCCCACTGCCCTGGAGGAGCGTCTCAGAGCATTTGTGCGCGCTTCGAGGTCTATGGGTGCTACTGGCAGGCACTGCCATGCCAGCGCGATTCCATTTTTTTTTTTTTTTGCTTTTGCTTCTGATCTCTGCCTCCCACCCCTTTCCTGACCCTCTACCCTCTTTCCCTTCCTCCTCCCAACTGTAGTTACATTCATACACTAGAGTTTCCTTTATTAGGTGAAACTACTCAAAATTCCACATGCAGAAGAACGATGCTGAAGCCAACATACCGTACACAAACACTCACTCCAACTCAATCCCAGACCGAGGAGAAAGAACTGGAGTAACCCCAGCGATGCACAGGGGTTACTCCTGGCTCATGATGCACTCAGGAATGACTCCTGGCGGTCCTCAGGGGACCATACGGGATGCTGGGAATCGAACCCAGGTTGACTGTGTGCAAGGCAAACGCCCTACCCTCTGTGCTGTTGCTCCAGCCCCACGATTCCATTCTAATCTCCAACACAGCCACCACCCGCTCCCGTGCCGCGGCCCTTTTTCAGAACTTCTTTGTTGCTGCTTGTCCTTTCTTCATTTTAATTTCTCAGCGAATCGTGCACACTGATTCCAGATCCCATTTTCCAAGCTCTGCTGTGAAACACAGCCCCCCTCAACTCACCCTCCCCCCAGGCCTCTCAGAGGCTTCCGTTTTGTGACCGACCTCCAAGTTTTGGCATGACATGCTCGCACGGTGCCTACGTGACCTTTTTGGTTTAGGCTTTATTGATCGATTATATTATGGATGGATGGAAGATTAGTGTTTCCTTTCAGGTCTCCACCATGCACTTGGCCCCCTGATCTCTACCTCCCACCCCTTTCCTGACCCTCTACCCTCTTTCCCTTCCTCCTCCCAACTGTAGTTACATTCATACACTAGAGTTTCCTTTATTAGGTGAAACTACTCAAAATTCCACATGCAGAAGAACGATGCTGAAGCCAACATACCGTACACAAACACTCACTCCAACTCAATCCCAGACCGAGGAGAAAGAACTACAACACTAAAGAAATACACACACACAAGCATCAATTTTCACAGGAGTGGACCAGGTCTTAACTCATTGCATTTTGCATCAGAAGGACAAATGGTAACATAAAAAAAAAAGATAAAACTGCACTTCAGCCAGGTGTACGGGCTGTAAAGAAAACCACCAAGGGCAACTCAGATAACGGGCACAACATTTCATCAACCACTTCCCTGAGATGGGGCCCGTAAGGTGAACAATGTAAAGAAGTTTGAGAACTCAACAATAAACAACCCAATATAAAACAACATACATGGGATCTGAACATGCATGTTACCGCAGAAGATAAACAAATGGGTGGACTGGAGGGAGACAGAACAGCGGGAGGGTGTTTGCCTTCCCCACGGCCGAGCCGATTCAATCCCGGACATCCCATATGGTTCGCTGAGCCCTGCCAGGAGTAAGTCCTGAGCACAGAGCCAGGAGTCGGCCATGAGTACAGGCTGGGTGTGGCCCCAAGACATCCAGATCCAATCCCTGGCATCACATGTTCACCCAGGCACCACCCTGAGCATGACATCAGGAGGAACCCCCAGCTCCACTATGTGGGGTCCCCAAAGCAGAACAGAAAGACGTAACACCACGATGGTTCGGAAAATGGGGACCAAAACCATGGTGACTCTGGGGACTGGGCCACCCATCTCTGGGACAGTGTTGGGCAAGCACCACAAACCCCGCGGCTCACAGTTCTGCAGGCCAGAAACCTGCCTGCGAGGCCTCAGCGGGGCCAGGCTCCTTCTAGGGACCTCGTCCTTTCCCCGAAGAAGGTCACGGTATGGGGACCAGGGCTGCTCCTCTGGGGAGTCACCCTCCAACCCCCAAGGTGACCGGAAACCGCAGGGAAGCACTTCAGACGCAGTCACCCTGCTCGACCAAGCCATCAGGGGCCACACATGAATTTGGACATAGACGCTCACAGAGCTTTATCCACAGCGCTGAAAGGAAAAACCACAGACAGGGCAGCTGACCGATGAATGGATCCATAAGATGTGCTGCTATCCATACAGAGGGCTGCAAGGCAGCAGTGAGGAGGAATGACATGCCAGTCAAGCCCCAGCATGGGTGAAGCTTGAAAACTAGCTCTGCTAAGAGAAAGGAGCCAGGCACTAGAACAGATGCAGACAATCACACTCACACACTCACACACATACACACACACGCACACACTCATGCACACACACACTCACACGTACACACTCTCACTCACACTCATGCACACATATACACACTCACACACTCATACACTCACACTCATACACACTCATACACACACACGGACACTCACACATACACACACTCACACTCATGCACACACATACACACTCACACACTCATACACTCACACTCACATACGCTCACACAAACTCACACATACACACATTCATATACAGACTCACACATACACACACACAGAGTCCTTTTTTGTTGTTTTGTTTTGGGGTCACACCCAGAGGTGCTCAGGGATCACTCCTGGCGGGACTTGGGGGACCAAACTGGGTCCCAGGGATCGAACTTGGGTCAGTTCCATGCAAGGCAAGAATTTCACCCACTGTAGTTTCTCCGCCCCTAGAGTGATTCTATTTATATGAAATGTCTACCTTTGGCAAATCTATAGAGACTGAAAATCACTATTTACCTGGTGGGTATAAGTCTTTTTTCTAGAATGATGAAAATGCCCTTAAATTGATTGTGATTTTTCCAGAACTCAGAATAAACTAGAATTCACTGAACTGCTGATTTTGAGTATTAGAGCGCATGTGAACTGTATCTCAATAAAGAAGTTCTTTAAAAAAAATTAAATGAGGGTTGTTATAGCAGGTAAGGTGCTTGCCTTGTACATGGCTGACTTGGGTTCAATGCCTGGCACTTAACAGGGTTCAATCCCCTAGCACACAGCCTAAGCACTACTGGGCAAGAGCTAACTTCCTCCACCCCCCAAATTAAGCAATTTACAACATACATTGTGGTACATATATTCATTCCTAAAATAAACTACATTACTTTTCACTGTCATGAACTTTTACTTTTCTGTGGAATTGAAAAGTACCTTGTTTTGTCATTGAGTGGATTTTCCCTGGAACATCGCTGATTGTCAAGCCCAAATCTGAATAATCTTGTTTGCTGCTCTCTGAATGCATAAGTATCCAGTTACCTAGGCCTTTTATGTCTCTGAGCAACGCTTTGACATTTTCAGTACACAAGACTTTGGCTTCCTTGGTTAAATTTATTCCTAAGTGTTCCATTCTCCTTGACGCTATTAGCAATCTGTTTCTTACGTTTCTTCTTAGAAGGCTCATTACAAGTATACCAAAACGACTGATATTTGGGTATTGGATTTTAAGCCCTGTGACTCTCTAGGACGCATTTAACTCATTGGTGCTCTGGGGTTACTCCTGGCTCTGTACTCAGGAATCACTCCTGGCAGGCTCAGGGGAACGCATGGGATGCCGGGATTAAACCCAGCTATGCCATGTGCAAGGAAGGCGCTCTCCCTACGGTATCATCACTCTGGCCCCAACATGGCTGAATCCCTCCAAGACCAGGACAGTGGGAAACAGACCTCCTCAGAGGGACAACGGGGAGGAGACTCGGAGAGAAAACAACCGTCTACAGAGGCAGAGAAAGACTCGGAGCTGAGCCTTCCCTCAGCGCCTGTGAAGGACAAAGCCTCCACACCCCTTCACCTCAGATCACACCTCAGCCCAGCACTTTGAGAAAGAAACTGTTTCTCCTGAGTCGCATCTTTACTGAATTGAGGACATTCCTTCCTTCTGTTCCTAGTTGGGGCTGGAGCGATAGCACAGCGGGTAGGGCGTTTTGCCTTGCACGCAGTTGACTCGGTTGACCCGAGTTCGATTCCTCTGCTCCTCTCAGAGAGCCTGGCAAGCTACCGAGAGTATCTCGCCCGCACGGCAAAGCCTGGCAAGCTACCCCTGACATATTCAATATGCCAAACACAGTAACAAGAAGTCTCACAATGTTATTGGGCTCGCTTGAGCAAATCGATGAACAACGGGAGGACAGTGACAGTTCCTAGTTGACTAAGTCTTGTTTTTTTTTTTTTAATTATGAAAGTGTTAAATCTTGTTAAATGCTTTTTTGTGTGTGCTCAATTGTGCTGACAATTCCCTTTTTACAGTGCCTCAGTTATGATGCCTGTGTATGAATTCCCCTTTGCTCTAGGATCATGGTTAGAGACAATGACTGATGGTTTCACATGATGAACTAGCCTCCCCAAGCCAGAGACCCACCAGAGTCACCACACACGTCCTTAAGGGGCTGCTGACTTTGTGTGTCAGTGTTTTCATACTGATAAAGATGAACCCTTGGGGCTGGAGCGATATAGCACAGTGGGTAAGGCGTGTGCCTTGCACGTGGCCGACCTGGGTTTAATTCCCAGCATCCCATATGGTCCCCCGAGTACCGCCAGGAGTAATTCCTGAGTGCAGAGCCAGGAGTAACCCCTGTGCATCGCTGAGTGTGACCCAAAAAGCCAAAAAAAAAAAAAGAAGCCTTAGTCCTAGTTCTTGGGTGGTGTCTACCCAGGAAGAACCCCTTCTTTCCTCTTCACTTCCTGGAAGCACTGAAGTACCGTGTTAATTTTTTCAGTGTCTCACAGAATTTACCAAAGCAGCCACTGGCTCTGGGCTTCAGTTCGCCGAGTTTGATTCAGCACTGACTCGATGCCCCAGCGGTGAGCCTGCTCTCACTGTGCCCTTGCTGACCTAGTTTTGATTGCCTGTGCGCTTCCAGGGCTCTGTCAATCCCAGCGAGGCCTCGTTCAATTTGCTAGGCTAAAATTGTTCCTAGCATCCCTTTATACCTGAAAATGACTGCAATATCTGTACAATTGGAAGTAATCGCCCCACTTTCATTTATGATTTTAGAAATCGTAAGTCAATTTGAGTCATCTTTTTCCTATTCAAGCTAGTTAAAAGTTTATTTTTTTTAATCTTTTCAATAACCTACTGGCTTCCTTGATCATCATTGCTTTTCCATTTATTATTCTCTGTTCTCCTCCAACTCTTTCTAACCCTCTGGTGTTCTTTCTCCCTAATCCTACGATATTGGGAGGGGATGCAGACAAAAACTGCAGTTACAGCACCTTATAAGCACTTAAGAAAGTACTGTCCTAGGAGACTAACACCCAAGAATGGCCGAGATTAGTACCAGGAATTTTGCTCCATGGCTTGGAGGCCAACCACACATGCTAGGGGAAAAGGCAGCTCAGATAGAGAAGATAAATAAAGGTGTTGGGAGGATCCTCCCAGGATGGGAGAAGCATGCTGAAAGTAGACTATAGACCAAACATGATTGTCACCCATTGCCTCTTTTGCAAACCACAACACCCAATAAGAGAGAGAGAACAGAGGGGAATGCCCTGCCACAGAGGTAGGGTGGGATGTGGGGGATGGGGGGTAGGAGGGATACTGGGATCTGTGGTGGTGGGAAATGGGCACTGGTGGAGGGATGGGCATTTGATCATTGTATAACTAAAACCCAAGCACAAAAATGTGTAAGTCTGCAACTGTACCTCATAATGTCTCACTAATAAAAAAAAAAAGTACTGTCCACACTGCAGGGTGGCCCACCGCCCACTGAGGCCCACAGTCCTGGGGCTGGACAGCTGTCCGTACCCCCTGGAGCCTCGGGAAAACACAGGCACCCAATGAGAGTGAGTCTGCCCCCCCCACCATGCCAAGTGGTTGGAGCCTCCAACACCCTGTTCCATGAATGGGCTTGAGAATGAGGCAAAGGAATCACACGTTCCTCCAAGACCAGTAGGACAGAGCCATGGAGGCAGGGCAGAGGGCTCCAGTGACAAAGAAAGTCTGACGAGAACCGGAAGAGTGATGAGCACACAAACACACATGCATACCCCAGCAGGTGAAAGAAAACTACGAGGGGTTCCCCACTCCTGGGACCACCTAAGGTCGGATGCCCTCCCGCACCCCAACTGCATTAATTTCCGAGAAGCAGGTTTCGAGGGACTTAATTTCTAAATTTCCTAAGAATATGATTTTTCTATGACATAACCCTTCAGGAACTTGAGAAATGAGAAAATACAAAGCGATTGGGAGACAAGCGATGGGCAGAGACATTTTAAAGGGGGAACAATAAAACACTCTTACATCCAGATTGTCTTTTTTATAAATCTCCATCGCCTTCTCTTCAGATAACCCACAGCAGCCGTATTCCAAAGGCGTGAAAACTGTTGTTGGGACATTGATATAATCGCACTAGAAGAGAGAACAACGTACATTTTCTTACTGAGTTATAAGCACAATTCTCCCTCCCCTGCCCTCATCAAAGGTCACAGCCCACACTCACCACACTCTTGGGTTGGTACAGACCTCGCCAGAGGGGACCACTCCACCCCGCCTGCTCTGCATTCATTTGTCTCATAATATATATATATGTGTGTGTGTATATATATATATATATATATATATATATTACCCGGGGCTGGAGCGATAGCCCAGTGGATAGGGCGTTTGCCTTACATGCAGCCAACTGGGCCGATCCTGGTTCAATTTCTTCGCCCCTCTTGGAGAGCCCAGAAAGCTACCAAGAGTATCTCACCCGAAAGGCAAAGCCTGGCAAGCTCCCCATGACGTATTCGATATGCTAAACACAGTAACAGACGCCCTACCCGCTGTGCTATCACTTCGGAGAGCCCGGCAAGCTACCGAGAGTATTCGATATGCCAGACACAGTAACAACAAAGTCTCCAATGGAGACGTTACTGGGCCCGCTCGAGCAAATCGACGATCAACGGGAGGGCCTTTACCTTTACCTTTACCTAAACACAGTAACAACAAGTCTCACAATGGAGACATTACTGGGTCCGCTCGAGCAAATTGATGAACAATGGGAGGACACTGACAGTGATATAATATCCAAGTCAGGGAAAACAGGGGCAGGAAGACTTGTCAATGGTTGGAATCTACCACAAGTGTGTAGGGGTGGAGGGTAGGTAAGACAGAGAAGGGACCAGTATGACAATAATAGTTGGAAATGATCACGCTGGACAAGAACTGAGTATTGAAAGTAGGTAAGGGGATAAATACGATAGCCTTTTAGTACCTGTATTGCAAACCACAAGGCCCTAAAGGAGAGAGAGAGAGAGAGAGAGAGAGAGAGAGAGAGAGAGAGAGAGAGAGAGAGAGAGGGAGAGAATGCCTGCCTGCCATAGAGACAGGCTGGGGTGGGTATCGAGAGGGAACCTGGGGATACTGGTTACTGGTGCTGGTTAATGTGCACTGGTGGAGGGATGGGTGTTGGAACACTGTATGACTGAAACCTGATCATGAATGACTTTGTAATGGGCTCACGGTGATTCAATTAAAAAATTTGAAAAAAGGGGACTGGAGCGGTAGCTCAGCGGGTAGGGCCTTTTCCTTGCACGTGGCCAACCCGGGTACGATCCCCGACATCCCATATGGTCCCCTGAGCACCACCAGGAATAATTCCTGAGTGCATGAGCCAGGAGTAATCCCTGTGCATTGCCGGGTATGACCCAAAAAGGAAAAAAAAATTTTGGAAAAAAAAAAAGACCTCTGCTACCTGCATTCTAACAGCCCCGCCTTCAAAGCACACCCCCAGCCTTAGGCCAGAGACTGAGAGAAAGTCCTGGAGGCATCACCTGGCTCTGGGGGCCAGGGAGGAGCAGGCACCAAGCCAGCCGAGCCTCGGAGGTGCTGCTCCCCCAGAGACAAGCCAGCTGACCCCCTGCTGGGGAAGCCCTTCACACTGAACTGTCCCCTCCTCTGTGCCGTGCAGCACATCTTGCAGAGAGTGGACACTTAGAAACGTTTACAGGAAACCAGATGCAGCAGCCATCACCCACAAGGGAACTGGGCAAGGGGTCCCTGCACAGGAAGCACATGTGTGATCCAGACTGACGTTTTGTTTTGTTTCGGGGTCACACTTCATGCAGCTCAGGGCTGACTCCTGGCTCTGTGCTCAGGGATCACTCCTGGCAGGGTTCGGGGAACCCTCTGGGGGTGCTGGGATCCAACAGTGTTGGCCGCGTTGTGAGGTCAGCGCCCTTCCCACTGTCCTATCTGTGGCCCCAGACTCGGTTTATACTTTATCAGCATCTTGAGAGGCCGGAGTGACAGTACAGCGGGCAGGGCACTTGCCTTGCAGGCAACCAAGCCAAGTTTAATCCCAGCACCCTCTATGGTGCCTAGAGCCCCAGCAGGGGTGACCCCTGAGCACAGAGCCAGGAGTAAGCCCCAAGTGCCGCCAGATGTGGAAACCCCCTCCAAAACCAAAATAAGTCGATAAAAGCGTCATTTTTGAGAGATGGCATCTCTGAAAGAACACGAAGAAATTCACCTTTTCTGAGCGGCCCCCAAAGAGCCTCCGGGCCAGCAGCTTGCCCGCCTGGATGGCCACAGGGGTGAGCTCCAGCTTGCCGTCCAACACGTCCCCCACTGCGTACACGTGAGGCACGCTGGTCTGCTCCATGTCATTGACTGGGATCTTGCCGTTCCTGGGAGGTGTGGGAAGGACACACACGTGACTGGCTTCCAGTCGAGGCGATGAAGAGGCATCGCTCGCATGAGCACGAGCCCAGCTGGGCACCAGCGCCAGAAGGCCGTGGCCTCCGGGTCTCCTTCGGGGCTCCTGGGCCCCCCGAAAAGGGAGCCGGTGAGGCCACGGCCATCTCTGGGCTCCATGAACATCTCCCCAAAGTCACCCAGTTTGCACAAGACAGGCGGTGAGGCCTTTTTCACAGGGTTTTTTTTTTTTCCTTTTTTGGGTCACACCCAGCGATGCACAGGGGTGTTACTCCTGGCTCTGCATTCAGGAATCACTCCTCGCGGTGCTCGGGGGACCATATGGGATGCTGGGAATCAAACCCGGGTCAGACGCGTGCAAGGAAAATGCGCTACCCGCTGTGCTATTGTTCCAGCCCCTTTCACAGTTATTTTTTAAAATCAGTATTTAATGCAGGAGTATTTTGAGGCATTCAACAGCTATTGATTTTTTTAAGAGACTGTTATGACAGGTCTGGGGCAGTACTGACAAATAAATTGAAACCACTCAAGTTTATACCACAGGGCCTGGGATGCAGTTTTGTTTTGTTTTGAGGTTGTGGGGCCACACCCAGCAGTGCTCAGGGGACAATGCGGGATGCCAGGGATTGAACCCAGCTCATCCGCGTGCAAGGCAAGTGCCCTGCCCGGTTACCATCTCCCCGGCCCCTGGGATGTGGGTCTATGAATGCTTTACATGTATGAGGTCCCATTCCCGCACCCCCCACACAAACTATTTGGCCTCTGAATAATTAAACCAGCATTTTTCAAGAAAAGGTCTCCAGAAATATTATTTTGTTTTATAGCAACAATCCCACTTTACTTACATTTCATTGACTTTGACACCAATCTTCTCCAAACCTATTTTCTTGGTGCAGGCGTCACGGCCAATTGCTAACAAAACCTATTTTACCGAGAGAGTGAAAACACTATCAATAAAAGTGATCAACATTTGGAGGGGAAGAGGAACAGACGACAGAGCCTTCAGAGGGTGGGAAGGATGTTCTGAATACCCCCGCCAACACATTCACAAAGAAGATAAAACAGAGTCCTTGAAAGACACAGTTCCTAAGCTTACACATGCTTGCATGCACACACACACACACACACACACACACACAGATCTGATGAACCCATGAAAAGGTGCTACATATTCTTTCTATTCCCTAAATTCATACACAGCAGAGCTAATCTCTGGAACATCACAATGTGACTGCATCCGAAAATAATTAAGATTAAACAGGCAATTAGGGTGGCCCGAGTCCAACAGGATTGGTATCTCTAAGTAGAGGCAATTAAGACAGAGACAACATAGAGGATGATGCTCCTGTGAGCACATGGGCAGAGAGCAGCCTTCTACACCCCGGGCCATCTCCCGGGCAGGAGAGACAGTCCAGCAGAGAAGGCGGGGTCTCTGCACACATGGTCTGAGTCCCAACCCTGGCGTCACATATGGTCCTCTAAGCACTGCCAGAAGTGACCTCTGAGCACAGCCAGGTGTGGTCCAAACCTCTCCCCGCAATGATACCGACCCACAAACAAACCTGCCTGCCCCTTCCTCTTAGGCTTCCGGTCCCGGAGCTCTGAGAAGGTTTCTCATCCCCACACTAAGGCCCCGGGTCTGTGGTATTTTGTCAGATGGTGCGGCAGGTTAATAAGCTTCACTTTATTAAAGAAACTCAATTTTCAATTTCTAGATTTCCCATTAATTCCAGTCCCAGATGACTCTGGCAACAAAGTCCATGGAAGGAAGATTAAAGTCGAGCAGAACCTGAGGGACCCATAAACTCTTCCGGAAGAGGGAGAGGCCTACAGGCCTCTCCCCAGGAGACCCCAAAGACACCTGATACAGAAGTCAGAGCAGGACCTTCAAACAGAAGTAAACGCAGATGGAAACGCCTGTCTTCTAAGCAAACAGCAGTGTGTGAGAATAAGTGAGCCAGATCAAGAAAAATGACACGTGTGGCTAACACACAGAAATCAATGATTAGAATTTGTCATCTTAAGAGAACAAGAGAGGAAAGTAGCATGATCATCCCATGAGATGCATAAAAAAAAAATATGACACAACTTCGAGTCCCTTGAGGATTTTAATGAAATCCTCAGCACATGAAGGTAAAAGAAAGTTTCCCAACCAAATAAAAGGCAACTGTAAAAACAAAACAAAACAAACAAAAATCTACAGGGCTGGAGAGATGGCTCAGCAGGTAGGCGCTGGCCTTGCATGCAGCTGACCTGGGTTCAATCCCCGTCATCCTGTATGGTTCCCTAAGCACTTCCAGGAGTGATCCCCGAGTGCAGAGCTAGGAGTAAGCCCTGAACATTGTTAGGTGTGGCCTCCAAAACACCCCCCACCCCCGCAAAAAAAAAATTACAGGATACTTCCTAGCAAGGATAAAAGCCTTGATTTGGGGTGTTAGTACCTGGCTTTGCTGGTTCTCTCTCGACTGCCTTTTGGGGGGGGCAGCAGAAAGAGCACTGTGATAAGTGGACAGGTGGGTCATGGGGCAGATACTTGGGTTCCTGCTTTGCAGAGCTGTATGGGACCAGGTACTGGGAGCCAGCAAGGCCACTACAGCAGTGCTGAGGGGGGCCTGGGGGTCAGGAATAGCACCGAGATCCTTATGGAACTCAGGCTCAGGCCATGACTCCTGTCCCACCCTCAGGTCTCACACTTGACAACAAAAGCCCATCCTAAGCATATCTAAAACAAGCCCGAACGACAGTACAGTGGGTAGGGTGTTTGCCTTGCACCGTGGCCAGTCGAGGTTTGATCCCCAGCCCCAGATATGGTTTCCTGAGGCTGCCGCGAGTGGACCAGGGTGATAATGAAGCTGGTAGGGTGTTTGCTTTGCAAGCGGCCCACCCGGGTTCAATCCTTGGCATCCCATATGGTCCCCGACCCCACCAGGAGTGATCCCTGAATGGAGAGCCCAGAGTAAAACCTGAGCACTGCTGGGCATGCCCACTCCTCCCTTCCCCCAAAAAAGAAAAAAAGAAAGTATACTATTGATGTTTGAACTATAAACCACAGTTTACAAAAGAAATACTGGCATCTATCTCTCTTAGGTTTACATTAGAATTATTGCTACCTCAAACAAACCACAGACAGGTGACATTATTTGGAGATTTCACAGTTTGTTTTTGAAAATATCTTTTTTGCTGTTTCATATTTTAAAAAAATCTAATAAATGTTTATTTAATATAAACCAATGCAGAAAGGCTAACTTTCCCAGAAATAAGCACAGATAACAGTTGGGTCTATCTGCGTCCACAATTTGTGCCGTGCATATCTATACATACATGCCTCACGTACCGCTGAACGCTATCAGCTGTTGACAGCTCACCTACCTGCTGATTTATTACTCCTGAGAAACAAAAGTTAGGTTAAACCTGACATAATTTCCCAGAATGTTCAACTCTTCGACTAGGAACGTGCAACTGTTTTTAACAAGAGGTTCGACGATTTTCAGCTACTTGCTAACACATACTTGCTTCTTGCAAATACTACTCATTAAGGAGACTTACTGTGTTATATATTTCTTCCAAAGTGTCTGATCCTTCAGTAGAGTTAGCCACTACTTTTAGCTTTCCAGGTGAACCCTTCTCCACCTGTTGAATCTAGTGAGAATAAATAATGTAACAATTATCTAGAAAGATGACAACACTGAGAGGACCCCAGGGAGCACACGAGTCTGGGGACATATTTGTGCGTGTGTGTGTGTGTATGTGTGTGCGCGCGTGCGTGCACGGTTGGGTGTGGTTTGTTGGTTAAGCGGAAACAGAGAAAAGTGCGTTGCCACGAGTTAGTCTGCAGGTGAGAAGTCAGTGGCTTCGGTGGGGTACTGAGCTCCATCCTAACTGTGGTCTGCATCAGCCGAACCATCACTGGGAGGCCAGAGAGACTCCTTCCCTCCCCGCAGGGGGATACGTGTAGGTAGAAAGTCCATTTCATCTTGTCACATCTGAAATGCTTAGGAGGAATTCAAGCGGAGATGCCACCAGGTGGCTGGGCCCGTGGGTGTGTCACTCAGAGAGGCCTGTGTGGGCCTGGCAGATCTGAGACCCTCCAGCACGGGGGAGAGCGCGAAGAAGACAAGGGGTGCCCAGGCCCTGCAGCTGCAGAGAAGGGAGCCACTTAGCTGCTTCCAAGAGAAGAGGCCCCAGCCCATGGGGCCCACAGGAACTGAGAAAGGAGACCAAGGAGACCGTTTCCCATGGGAAAAGCAGCACCTGCTCCAGACGATCCCAGAGGCCGGGGAAGGGAGGACAGAGATGTGCCATGGCCTGGATGAGAGGGAGTCAGGCCACAGAGCCAGGAGGGGCAGATTCAAAGGGGCAGCACGGAGGGGAGCAGCTGGCAAGTGGGCTGTGGGGACAAGAACTTAGAGGCGGTAGGTCCAGAGTGTCAGCGGGGACAAGAGGGAAAAGAGAAGACAACTCGGCTTCAAGACACAGCGAGAAGGCGAGGGCACGGCTGACGCCCCATGGGAGCCCCAAAGAGGATGATGAGAAGCTGGGAGGAAGAGGGAGAGGAGAGGAACTCAGGACAGGAGCCAGGGGACCATGGGGGCGGGGGGGGGGGGGGGGGGGGGAGGGATTAGGACCATTGACTGATTTCTTAAAGGAGAAGGAGGGAGGAAGTGCAAAGGCATCCCCCGAGGCCCTCAGACTTACCGAGACAGGAACGAACCGTTTCAAGAACCTAACACCGTGCTGTTCCATGTAGGAACCCACTTTCTCCGCCATTTCCTGGTCAAAGCCGCGGAGCAGGATGGAGCGCACCATGACGGTGACTTCTAGGCCGAGCCCAGCCAGGAATCCCGCACACTCCAGGGCCACGTACGAGGCGCCCACCACTAACGTTTTGCCGGGGCAATAAGGCAGAGAAAAAAGGTCATCACTAAAAAGTAAAAATGAGAAATGAATCGCTAGGCGGCAGAAGCCGGGGGAGCTAGTCTGGGGGCCGTGTGCAACGGTCTCAGGTGGGGCTGGGGGGCAGAAACGCTCAAGGGAACGGCCGTGGGAGTGTGCGCTGGAAGCGCAGTCCTGGGGTCTCGAACATATCCGTCGGTCGCAAGCAAAGTCCTTCAAAAATACTCAGATTCCACTCTAAGGAATAACCGGAAACACTCTTCTCTCTGTTGTACATGGATGTGTGGGCTTATCCGAAGTTCAATGAAAACAAACCAATGAAAAATTAAATTTCTTTTTGTTGTTGTTGTTGTGGTGGTGGTGGTGGTGTTTTGGGGCCACGCCCAGTGGCTCAGTCCTGACTCTGTACTCGGGAATAATCCTCAGCAGTGCTTGGAGGACCATATGAGATGCCGGGGATTGAACTGGGATCGGCTTCATGCAAGGTAAATGCCCTACCCATTGGACTACCACTTGGACCAGTGGAAAAAATGAAATTTCTTAAGGAGTATGCAGTTGAATAAACTTGAAGGGCATGATACTGCATAGGACAGTGTCGCTTCTCTGGCCACCTGGCAACACACTCTTGCAGTCCCAACACACTCTTGCAGTCCCAGCACCAAGACCAGCGTGGCTTCTCCTGACACCCCTGAACCAAGCGTTTCACTATATTTTTTGGTCTCCAGGAAGATTAGAACCAAATTTCCAGGCAATCCCCAAATTTTACCCAGAAGCACACAGCCTGCTTTGAGGGGCTGTCACACACAGCATTGCTCGGGGAACCACCAGTGTCGGGGGTCTCGGTCCCCGCGATCCAGCCCTTGAACTCTCTCGCCTGTCTCATACAACATATGCTCCATGGTTCAGAAATGCCATCTTATTCATCTGATCGTTTTCTTTCTCCATTTAATTAGTGACCTAGCTGGCTGCACTGTGTATACTTCATAATCCAATCACATCTTGGATGAAATATGACAGGGAGTAAAGGCACTTGAAAACACACCATCACACTCGAGTTTCCAGGGGAAGGGCCTATTTCTCTCACCTGGTGATGCAGTATTCTTTATCTCCTTGGATCCCTAAATACCGCGGTCTTTCCCCGGTGGCTATGACAAACTTCGCAGCAGTATAGAAGGTTTCCTGTCTTTTTTTGTTGGTTGCCTTGAAAAAAGAAAGAAAGAAAGAAAAGTAAACTTGAACCCTTTCTACAAATACCATAGAGCCTCAGACACCCTGGACCCATGATCAGCCACAAAGGAAGAAATGGCAGGACAGAGAAGGCAGTGTGACCCGCAGCTACACAGCAAACCGGAGCTGGGACGCCGGAACCTCAGCGCAGAGCAGAAGGGGGGGACAGCGGTCAGGGGAATGGAATCCCAGCAACACCAGCACCCAGAGGTGCCGAGGACAGCCAGCAGTCAGGAGCCACCGGAAGGGAGGGGACATGACACGCAGACGTCAGAGACAGTCGCCAGGGAGCCAATCGGCCTGTCTGAAGGCTCAGGGTCTGGGTGGACGGTAAAGGCTGCTCATTGCTGGTTTGTTTTCAGTTTGACAAGGGGAGACAGTACAGAGGGGAGGGCACACTGTGGACTGGGTTCAATCCCCGGCACCGCAAATGGTCCTCCCGGCACTGCTAGGAGGAGGCTCTGAGCCCCACCAGGTGTGACCCCCCCTCCGCAACAAAAGCCAGACACGCTAAAGAATATCATAAATACCGTTAAAATATCACTTAAAAAGTCCAAATTAATGAAGGTTTAAAGGTGAGATTTAGGGGCTGGAGCGATAGCACAGCGGGTAGGGCGTTTGCTTTGCATGTGGCCGACCCGGGTTCGATTCCCGGCGTCCCATATGGTCCCCTGAGTGCTCCCAGGAGTAATTCCTGAGTGCAGAGCCAGGAGGAACCCCTGTGCATTGCCAGGTGTGACCCAAAAAGCAAAAATATAAAAACATAAAAAAAAATAAAGGTGAGATTTAGGGGGCTGGGGAGCAGGACAGGCAGGAAGGCCCTGCAGCAGGGCCACCCATGGGGGTTCTAGAATAAGGGGCCCAAAGTCACTGGGCCTATCATTTCTTTTTTTAGAAAAAAGTTCTCTAAGCGCCCCCCCTCCCATGCATCTACCTTCTTTCAGCAAACAGAAAACATCCCCAGCAGTTTCAGCCAGGCCAGAGGTATGGCCTGAACATGGGGGAAGGACACACGTGTGGCAGGGCCCGCTCGGCCTTCAACATGCCACGCAGGCTTCTGGCCGAGCAAGCACCAGGACCGGGTGGGAGTGAGGAACACAGTACCTTTATTTTGTGGCTCTCGACAAACTCCCCGAAGGCATTGACATAGGTCACGGCCTTCTCCCTCAGAGATAGCCTGTAGCTCCAGTTCAGAGAGCTGATGTGGTTCTGGATGGCTTCGGTCATCACCTCCCAGTTGTGCTTCACTGCAAAGAACCAGGCCAAGGGGCTTTGTGGGGACTCTCACAGAAAGATTTGTAACTGCTCGAGAGCCGTCACTTTAAGAATCAGGTCATTATTTTAAGAGACAAAAAGCAGGAGCACAGTGGGGAGTATAGGGCTCTGTGTGCACCAACCCCAGACCCCAGACCTGACACCAGGCCCCAGAACTGGTCTTATCCGCAGGGCCCCGCCCACAGCATAGCTCTGCCTGGCAAGCCACATTCCTAGCCTTAATGACTGAAATCAAGGGCAAGTCTTTCTCTAACAAACTTCACCTCCTGGGGCTGATGTGATAGCACAGCGGGTAGGGTGTCTGCCTCGAGTGCAGTACACCTGGGTTCAATCCCCAGCATCCCATACGGTCTCCTGAGCCCCCTCAGGAGTGATCCCTGAGTGCAGAGCCAGGAGTAAGCTCTGAGCATCACTGGGTGTGGCCCAAAACAAAAACCAAACCACAATAACGAAAGGCTCCTCCTTCTTGCTCCTTGCTAGAGCTATTTTTGTTATGTTCTGTTGGGGATGAACCACAGTTGGCTGCTTGAGAGACCAGCACTTCCCCAAGCCCTCTCTCTGTGGCCCACCTGCTGGGCTTATAGCCCTGGACCCACCTTGCTTGCTATACTCCCAGCCATATTTCCTTGAGTCAGTGAGTGCCTGTCCCAGAAGGGCGGCCTGGTGCATCAGTTTCTTCGGGATGCAGCCCACATTGACACACGTCCCGCCAAGACCTGGAGGAGAGAATGAACCATTCAGACTTCGCTGGTGTGGCTTCACGGACACCATAGACAAACAAAGGGTGAAATGGTCCACATCACCCCCCAGAATAACACAAACAACCCCAACTTTATTTCCAAGCAGTGCTCGGGGGACCCTGGGGCCACTTCCAGCTGGCCCAGCTCAACCCAAACTTTTGAGGCAAGGGAGCATGAAGGAGACCTAAGATGAACAAAATCACAGCTGTGCGTATCAGCAGCTTTCTGGGGACAGGGCCCAAAATATGCAATGGGTCTGGCCCACAGAAAGGATCAGGACTATTGGAGGACACAAACTAACCCCCAGGGCTGGAGCCCAGTAGTTTTACCAGAGGCTGCCTGGGTTCAGCACCTGGGAAACAGATCCCAATGCCTGGCACCCTCGTCCCTGCACCCACCCACAGCAGAACAGGAGGCCGAGACCCACTTGGATCCTGGCCTCTGGGTAATCCAGACACAGACATTTCTGGAGGGGAAGAGAAAAGGGAAGGAGGGGCAGGGAAAAGAGAAAGAAAAATGTAGACACACTCAATAGAAAATCAAAAGAAGGTAAATTAGTCTAAGTCTTAAGAATCAAGGCAATTAAGCACTGTCTACAATAGCCAGAATCTGGAAAAACCTGAGTGCCCAAGAACAGATGACTGGTTAAAGAAACTTTGGTACATCTCCACAATAGAGTACTATGTAGCTGTTAGAAAAGATGAGGTCATGAAATTTGTATACAAGTGGTACTACATGGAAAATATCATGCTACATGAAAAGATCCAGAAAGAGAGGGACAGACATAGAAAGACTGCATTCATCTGGGGAACATAAAGTAACAAAATAGGAGACTAATATCCAAGAATAGCAGAGATAAGTACCAGGAGGTTCACTCCATGGCTTGGAGGCCAGCCGCACACGCTAGGGGAAAAGGCAGCTCAGATAGAGAAGGGAGCACCAAATAAACGGTGTTGGGAGGATCCTTCCAGGATGGGAGATGCATGCTGAAAGTAGACTATAGACCGAACATGACTGCCACTCACTGCCTCTTTTGCAAACCACAGCACCCAAAAGGAGAGCGAGAACAAAAGGGAATGTTCTGCCACAGAGGCGGGGTGGGATGGGGAGGAATGGGGGGTGGGAGGGATACTGGGATCATTGGTGGTTGGAGAATGGGCACTGGTGGATGGATGGGTACTCGATTGTTGTATAACTGAAACCCAAGCACAAAAATTTGTAATTCAACACTATACCTCATGGTGTTTCACTAATAAAAATTTTAAAAGAATCAAGGCAATTTTTCTTTTTCTTCTGTTGGTAGGGAATGCCCACCTAGTGATGCTCAGAGGTTACTCCTGGCTCTGCACTCAGGGATCACTCCTGGTAGGCTCAGGGGACCATATGGGATGCTGCGGATTGAACCCGGGTTGACTGCATGCAAGGCAAGTGCCCTAATCCCTGTATCATCGCTCTGATAAAGCCCCCAAGGCACTATTTTTTTGAGCTAGCTCAAATGACAATGAATGATTTTTTTTTTTTATCAAGGACACCCTTAGGGTAACAGTGGTATTATCACAGAGAGACTATTATGGGGATGAGGGCAGGAAGTTGCAGAAGAGGGCCTCTCCTTAACCCCATGTGATGTGAGATGGTGAGACAGGTGAGTGCCACGGTGGGTGTGGGGGGCACCCCCTAGGGGAGGGGATGGAGCCAGTCATAGCGTCCAGGGAGGCAGCTGGGGAATCGAGACCCCTCCCTGCTCGCTCCTCTCCCTCTTCTCCCAGAGCCGCTGTCTGGCCAAACCCAGGCAGAAAGCGCGAGGCTGCCGGCTCATCAGCAGATGCAGGAGCGGCCTCTGGAGCCTGCGGCAAAGGTTTGGGGAGCACACACTGCGTTTTCCCCATCTGACTGACCAGGAAAGCGCACATACTCACTCGGATACCGTCCAGACATCCCAGTCAGTTACCATACCAACAGAGAAACAGAAAAGAGTCCAGGCAAGGCCGGTGAAACAGGCAACACAGACAGAGAGACGGCTGGGAGCCAGTAGGCGGGGACAGCAGCGCAGGCATATCTGGGGGCACTGAGGCCCTCCGCAAATATTTCGTCCTGTCTGTTTTCTCTCTAAATCGCCAAGCGCCAAGGTCGAGATCTTAGGCAGACTCAGTTCCCTCCCATCAGAAACAGGCTGGGGACAAGGACAGAGAGAGAGAGCTTACCCCAGGACGTGCCCTGGGGGGTCGGGACCACGAAGTCCAGCACCAGGACTTTCTTGCCCAAAACAGCAGCTTCCTACAAAAAAAACCAAAAAGCTCCATGTAAAAAGATCTCGTCGTGTTTTCACCACACCCCCAATTTTTCTCTCTCCTAAACATCTCCCCTAAATATCATGCTTGAGTGATAACCAACTTTGTTAGACCAGAGCCCACGCCCCCTCCTCCAATTTTTTTAAATATTGTTTTTGTTTGGCTTGGGGGCCACACCCAGTGATGCTCTGCACTTACTCCCAACTCTTCACTCAGGGATCACTCCTGGTGGGCTCAGGGGATTTTATGGGGCACCAGGGATCGAACCCAGTTTGGCAGCATACAAGGCAAGCACTCTACTCACTGCATTATCACTCTGGGCCAGGGGCCTTAAATTTATTGGGCCTACTGCCCCCTTTTCAGGTAAAACCCCCACTCAGTGCCCCATGGAATTCTACCATCTTGAAGCCAACAGATGGTGCCCCCGGCCCCAGCTGCCCCCTCACACCAGCCACCATCATCATGCCCAGACCCCGGGTGGTGGATGGCCCACTCTGGTCAACACTGGCTCACGTCACCCCCTTTAGTGTCTGTCTCAGCAGCACAGGGTCCGAGGTGGCTGTTTCCAGGAAACTACCTCGCGGGCATCTTCTTACCTGAGCGCATGCAAGGCCCCCGGAACCGCCGCCCAGGACGATGAGGTCGTAGTCGTACCCTGCCTCTCCTTGGAGGAGCTGCTTCAGCAGACCACTCTGGTGTGCCTGCAGTTCAGAAAGGAGGAAGGCGGTGAGAGCGCAGGTCACAAACTGTCACTCGCAGGGCCAAGCGACAGCACAGCGGGGAGGGAGCTTGCCTTGCATGTGGCTGACCGGGCTTCAATCCCTGATATCCTGTGTGGTCCCCCAAGCCTGCCCTGAGTGACCCCTGGGTGCAGAGCCAGGAATAAGCCCTGAGCACTGTTGGGTGTTGCCCATAAACCCATCGCACCCCCAGAATTCATTCATGCCCGATGTTAATCAGCATGGACTGAGTTTATAAAAACCTTAGAAATGGGGAGAGTTACATAAATATAAGGGATGTAAGAGCAAAAAGTTAATCAAAGTAATCATAAAGAAAGGAGTTTGCTTAGTGAACATCTGTTTTCAATTTGGGCCCACACCAGGCAGTGTTCAGGGCTTATTCCTGGCTCTGCACTCAGGGATCACCCTAGTGGGGTTCGGAGGACCATACGGGGTGCTGGCGATTGAATCTGGGTCAACCACGTGCAAAGCAAATGCCACACCCGCTGTACTATCCCTCCAGCCCCAATAAGCGTTGCTTTCTTTTTATGTGAGTGATTCCTGTTAACTTCTGTACCATAGGAACCAAAACTCTCGTTAATGGGCCTCACCATGCCCTCTAAGTTAGCGGCTCTGACGGAAGACCCACGTGGCTGACGTGAGACAAGAGTTTGGCATTGACCTCATCTGCTCACACCCTCTAGAGGGGCGGAAGAGCCCAGGGGGAAACAGCAGCTTCTCCTGAGTTTCTCAGTCAGGGTTGCTGAAACAGCTCATTTCCCTTCTCGTGGCCAAGATTACCTGGCAACCAGCCTATTCACTTTTTTCACTTCTACATCTTACAAGAGGGCTGGAGCGCAGCGGGCAAGGCGTTTGCTTTGGACGCGGCCGACCTGAGTTCGATTCCTCCGCCCCTCTCAGAGAGCGCGGCAAACTACCGAGAGTATCTCGCTCACACAGCAAAGCCTGGCAAGCTCCCCGTGACATATTCTATGTGCCAAAAACAGTAACAATAAGTCTCACAATTTGTTGTGAGATGTTACTGGTGCCCGCTCGAGCAAATCGATGGACAATGGGAGGACAGTGCTATCTTACAAGGAAAGGACAAGGAAGCAGGCATCTGAAAAATGCTCCCTGTACAGAAGTAGCACCTGGGCATACAAAGTCTCTTAATACCTGCAAAGTTCGATCGTATCCACCCATGTGAACTTTATTCACAAAAACATTGGGCACCGTTGACTGATTGGTCATCTCCGTCAGAACTTCTTGAATGCCGACCCCATCATCTAAAAGACAAGAGAATACATAGGACCTTTAAGAGGTTTCCTTCAAGCCCTCTGCACCCCAACCTTTAATATAACACACACACACACTCACGGGTGCCCTCCTGATAAGCAGGGGGTAGGTACCTTCAGGAATGTTGACTCAGGAGAATTCAGGGAACCCCAAAAGATAATGACTGGAGAGCACATGACTGGATATGGCCCTGGGTTTGATCCTTGGCGTCACACACACACACAAAACAATAACACATACAATCACACAACATATACACACACTCTTTCACACCTACTCAGAAATGAATAAAAGCCCAATCCACTGTTTCCATTTAAATAAGCTATTTTAACTTAGAGTTTGACAGATGGCTATGTTGAGACAAATGGAGAAGAATCTTCTTCTGAAAGCAAACACCACGACAGCATCTGCTTCGACAACAACTTGGAAAGCATTTCTGACCCTTGCATTAGGAAAGGCCTTATCTCCCACCCCTCAGCACACACCGGCAGGGCAGGTAGGCTGGACACCAGGGTCCCACCCCCAGCACCACATGCCCTCCTGAGCATCAAGGGGTGTAGCCCAGAGGCCCCAAAACTGCTGGGAGGACCTGGGGGAGCCCTGACCCACCATGAGCTGAGCAGCATCCTCAGGCCACGGCACTGAGTGCCGGCCCCAGAACTGCCAGTGGGGCTCCCACCTAAGAAAACGCCTTAACTTAGGGTGACTCTTGTTTGGTGTGCTCTTTAGAACCATCTCGAAGATTCAAGAACACTGCACTGATGAAGGTGACTGAGTGACAAGAAGTTGGTGAAGTTGCATGAAGGCAGAGAACATGTTCTGTTCTGCTCACACGAAGTCTCCCAGACTGCATGTATAAATGAATCACTAGAGGCAGGCAGGGGCATCGATGCCAAGAATGCCAGAGGGGGAGGTTCCTCCTCGAGGGAAAAACGACCAGGAAATAGCAGAGAGCTCTTCTCCACCACCTAATCTGAAAGGCCTAGAGCCCTCGCAGGCTCACCCAGCTACCCCTGCTCCATGCCCTCAGATACCCAAAAGATGGCCATGAGGAAGCTACCCACGCGTACCATAGAGAGGGGCATTTTCTGCAGGGCTGAATGCAGACAAAAATAGTTTGTGCAATCCAGCTACAAGAGCCAGATGACCAGAACAGAGAGCAGGAAAGAAGGCGACCTTGGGGACATTTGTGACTATCCACCAGGTGTACTAACCACTCCACTTACCAACTTGATCGAGCTCCAAGGCATTATATTCAGCTCCCAGAGACGAAAAGAGTTCTTTCACCTGTAACAAAAATTCATCTCCGTTTCACTCTCAAAGATTCAAAGGGGAGATATGATACATGGCCACAGTAAGAAGGGGTGTCCACAGTCTCACTGGAGGGCCAGGGACGGGCGCGGGGGCAGAGCGCTTGCCTGGCTGAATGGGGCCCTGGGTTCCACCCTCAGCACTGCAAGAACCAAACAGCTGCTCTCCAGGAGTCTGAGTTCGCACCTCTGCTTCCTCTCCGCTGCAGCATCTGCCCAGACTCTCTCGGAGCACCTTCTCACTTCTGTTTCCACCATTATCTTTGAATTCCAGACCTATAACTTTTGCCCTGATCCCTTTTCTGAATTCAAACTGGGCCACACGCCTTTCTCTGCTGGACACCCCAACGATTCCCAAGGTGAGTTCTTCTTCTCTCATGTTATCTTTCCTCTTTGGTTTCCTTCGGTCACTCACAAACGCTTCTCCCTCCCATGAGCCCGTCTGCCACTCTCCTATCAGAGAGAACGCAAACTCTGCCCTCAAGCGGGGGAAGCAGACTTGGGACAGTTACTTCATTCCACAGGTCAGCTGTCAGGGGCCTTCCTACACAGAGAGGGGACAGAGCTCCAAGCCAGGAGCACTCCTGGGCGCTGTCAGACACGCAGAAACAGACCCTGGATCAGAATCCGCATTTGGATGACTTTGCAAAGACCTGCTCATGAGTCATGCAAAGGCCTCCCCGTCTTGCGCCATCTCGCTCTCCGCCCACTCCAGCGCGTCAGAAAGTCTGAACAGCTCCCTTTGTTGGACTGGGTCAACTTTCCAGCTCCCCACAGGTACTCTCTCAGCCTGAGCCACCCACATCTATGACAGCGATTTTGCAGGAGCGATTTAAGAGTTGTCTTCGCATCCAGCCTAGTGCCCCCCCCCCCCCGGCCTTGAAATTGCAGAAACTGCAGATGACCTTGATAGCTGTCTTTTCCCCCCACTGCACTCCCATTTCGTCTTTTTTTTTTTTAATTCATGTCACACCTGGGCTGAAGCGATAGAACAGTGGTAGGGCGTTTGCCTTGCGCACAGCCAGCCCTGCCGAGCCGGGTTCAATTCCTCCACCCCTCTCGGAGAGCCCGGCAAGCTACCGAGAGTATCTCGCCTGCATGGCAAAGCCTGGCAAACTACTCATGATGTATTCAATATGCCAAACACAGTAACAAGTCTCAAGATGGAGACATTACTGGGCCCGTTCAAGCAAATCGAGGAACAATGGGAGGACAGTGACAGTGACAGTAACAGTGATGTCACACTGTTGGTGCTTAGGGTTCTGCCCTCTGGGATCATTCCTGGCAGGGCCCGGGGCACTATATATGGTGCCGGGATAGAACCTGAGTGGGTCGCATGCAAGGCAAGTGCCTGCTGCACTATCTCATTGGACCCCTCCCCATTACATGAGCCCCTGCAGTGTCCTGCGCCCTTAAGATCAAGCTCAGAGGATGGAGAGATGCTTGCAGGGCCGCAGAGCAGGCTTTGCACATGGGAGCCCTGGATTTTACCCCTGGCACCTCAAGGTCACTGAGTACCGCCAGGAGTGCCCCCCATACACCACCTGCTGTGGAAGGCACCCCACAAAAAAACCACGGAGATCAAGTCAAGATGTTTTTTTCTGAGACAAAATCAGTATGAGCTTGGTAGAGATGCTTCCTGACAAATATTTACTAGCGGAGAATTTTATTATTATTTTTTAATATTATTTATTTATTGATTTTTATTGATTGACTGATTTTCTTTTCTTGCTTTTTGGGTCACACCCGGCAATGCACAGGGGTTACTCCTGGCTCATGCACTCAGGAATTACTCCTGGCGGTGCTCAGGGGACCATATGGGATGCTGGGAATCGAACCCGGGTTGGCCGTGTGCAAGGCAAATGCCCTATCCGCTGTGCTATCACTCCAGCCCTGAATTTTATTTTTTTAAACAACCATTTAAAGCCTCTAAGTTGTCCTGACGGTGAATAAAGAATTTTTTTTTTTTTTCAGAAACTCAGATGTCATCGGCAGGGACGGAGAAAGTCTGAGGCACCGACACAGACCCTGACCTTCCCACCCACACCCAGGATAAGCCTGGGGAATGTACCAGTGTTGTGGGCATGGCCAAGAAAGGGGGGTTGGCACAAGGTCTTAATCCAGAGCCTGGCAGTTTGTGGCAGAAAAGTGAATGGACCATGAGTTAAACTACGGTGCCATACCTCCCTGGGAGGGAATGGGTGTCTATCCCTTCCGCCTTTTTCCACCCCAGCAGCAAGGTGGCTGCTGCCTCAGAGCTTATTGGAAAGCCAGGTATGAGCCGGCGGTGACGGGGCAACTGCAGTCTCATGGGATGAAAGATGGTACCGGCTTGTCCTTCACGCCCTACCAAGGTCACAAGTTGCCCCCCACGAGCGGCTCTCCGGACGGTCATAGCACCAGATGCACAGAAACCAATCTCATAATTATCTGGCTCTTGGCAGAAATCCTTCCAGACTTAATTAGTAAAATATCAGAAACCCAAAATCGCGCGGCCGCAATGGTTCTCATAACCAGCTATAGAAAACAAATTATTTCACAATGCCTTTTCAGCAGTTCTGATTGTTGGGGGGAAATTCTCAACAATAATGGTGCATCTTTTGTCGAAATAATGAATGTAATCAAAGTAGAGAGAGAGTTAAGTAGAAATCATCTACCTCACAGGCATCGGGAGGGATGGAAGGGGGTATATTGGGGTCCTTGGTGGTGAAAAATAAGTACTGGTGAAGGGAAGGGCGTTTGATCATTGTATGACAGAGACTTAAACTTGAAAGCTTTGTAACTTTTCCCACAGTGATTCAATAAATAAATATAACAAAAAAGAAAGAAAGAAAGAAAGAAAGAAAGAAAGAAAGAAAGAAAGAAAGAGGGGTCCCTGAAATCCCAGCCTGGGTGCTCCAGCTTCCAAAACTCGGAGGCGGAAAGGCTGCAATCCCTGCTAAGTGTGGCCTAATCACCGAGCTCCATGGGGTCAGAGATTACGGTCCCAGCCCACAGAGATGGGGATGGGGCCCCTAATCACCTCCCCAGCCCATGGCAGGACAAGCTTCCAGGCCAGTGGGAGAGGTCTGCCAAGAGGACCTGAGGCTAGCGCCCACGGGGCAAACCCAGGAGACAGGGCTCTCCCCAAGGGCTGGGTGACTGTTCCCAGCCCAGCTCCGGAGCAAGGGGCAACCCTCACTTTTGGGGAGAAGTCAGTCCTGGGGTCGCTGCTCTACCCACAGGGCTGACATGGCCTGAATAGGCTGGGGAGAAGCAGAGCTGGAGAAAGTGGCCAACACCAGAAACTCCGGGCCAGGCGGAGCCCCCATGGGTAGCACAAAGACCACAGCCGAAGGACATGTGGGAAGTCGGGTTTTTTTGTGGCTTTGGGTCACACCTAGCAGTGCAAGGGGAGGCTACTTCTGGCTCTGTGCTGGGGGGTCCTCCCGGTGGTGCTCAGGCTCTGGGCCTCCTGCACGCACACAGAGTCTGTGCTCAGTCACCAGAGGAAGGTATTCTGAATCGATCCAGGGTTCTCGTGGCAAGGAGAACCATGTTTTAATTTCCTTGTGTCAACTCTGAGTGTGAGCTAATGGGTGCTAAGTGGACCTTTCGTGGCCACCATTCCATGATAAATGTGAGAAACCATCTTCCTGTACACATTGACTTTACACTAATGCACGTCAGCTGTTTTTCAACAGTGGCACGGTGTGGAGAGGAGGCCGAAAGCTCTGTTGGAGCAATAAACTGAACTGGGGGGCCAGAGAGTTAACGGAGAACCAGGAAAAGACACAGAAAGAACAGCCCTTCTGAAAAGGCAGCTCAGATAAAGGAGCACCAAATCAAGGGTGTTGGGAGGATCCTCCCAGGATGGGAGATGCATGCTGAAAGTAGACTATAGACCGAACATGATTGCCACTCAATGCCTCTTTTGCAAACCACAGCACCCAAAAGGAGAGAGAGAACAAAAGGGAATGCCCTGCGACAGAGGTGAGATGGGATGGGGGGAAGGAGGGGTGGGAGGGATTCTGGGATCATTGGTGGTGGAGAATGGGCACTGGTGGAGGTATGGGTACTCAATCACTGTATAATTGGAACCCAAGCACAAAAATTTGTAAGTCTACAACTGTACCTCATGGTGTTTCACTAATAAAAATTAGGAAAAAAAAAAAAGAACAGCCCTTCTGAGGGCCAGAGAGATAGCACAGTGGGTAGAGCATTTGCCTTGCACACACACACACACCCAACCCAGGGTCAATCCCATGATCCCAAATGGTCTGCTGAGAAAAAAGAAAGATGGAAAGGGAAGGGGAGGGAAGTGGAGGGAAAGGGAGGAGAAAGGGATGGGAGGGGAGGGGAAGGGAATGGGAGAGAAGGAAAGGGAGGAGGAAGATGGGAGGGGAGAGAAGAAAGGGGAAGAAACGCATGGTTATGAGCGTCAGCCATGGAACTCGTGCCAAAAGACAGAAAACAAGCCGTCAGAGAAAGTCCCGGCTGACATTCGCCTCCCAAGTGACAGCCCCAACTCAAGTTGTGCCTCTAGGAGAGGGACATCTGTCAGCAGCACCTCGGCAGCAAACAGCCAGTATGACCCACGTCACCGACTAAAGCCAGCCACAGGCTGGGGGCGTTCAGCCTCTGGAGTAGTGACTCAGCACCAAATGCCCAGGTCTCTCAGCAGGACAGTTTACTAGAGGGGTCGGAGAGACAGGACAGGGGGTGGGGCATTTGCCTTACACGTGGCTGACCAGGGTTGGATCCCCGGTATCCCATATGATCCCCCGAACACTGCCAGGAGTGATTCCTGAGTGCAGAGCCAGGAGTAAACTCTTAGCATTGCTGAGTGTGGCCCAAAATTTAAAAAAAAAAAAAGGTAAAAATAAATAAAAATTAAAAGGGAAGATTTAAAAAAAAATCATTTACTAGATATATGAACAGGAATATAAGCTGTGCCCACAAGGGAAAAAATGCTACAAGGAGAAAGCACCTTTGAAA